AAGAGGCCTATGCCTCTGCTCAGTTTCTCTTTTCCCATCGCCTGCAGTTCTTTAGTTCTTGCTGGTTTTGGAAGTTTCATGAGTTGCTTGGCTCGTCTGCAGTCCTCTATCCCTTCCCAGGAGTTCAAGTGCTCCCGTTCAAGCCACTCTTTAATAGTTTTTGTTCCTGCTGAAAATGGGACTCCGACGATCCGTTCAGCCGGGACCTTTTCGGTGCCCAGCTTTGCCAACTCGTCCGCTCTCTCATTTCCAGGTATACCCTGATGTCCAGGGACCCATACTAGGGTTACCTTGTTTGTTACCCCTAGTGTTATAAGTGTTGCATACAGTCCCATACTACAGATGATTCTGTGGAGGTACTTGCAAGTGCCCCAATAGCTGCTCTGCTATCCGTGCAAATATGTATTTGTTTTCTATTTCTCTCCTTTAGCAGGAGTTCCGCACATTTTTGGATGGCCAGCACTTCAGCCTGAAACACTGTGGCCAGCTCACCTATTGGTATGCTTACCTCTTGGTTAATATTGGGCCCAAATATCCCTGCCCCATATCGACCGTTTGCTCCCGATCCATCCGTGAACCAAGTGTCTACCTCTGGATTGGCTTTGTAGTTATACTTGCTCCAGTCCTCCCTAGTCGGTATTTTAACTTTGAAAGTCTTCACCCACTGGTGTTTTCTGGGGATCCTGTCTTGTTTTAGATTGAAAGGGTGTTTATCAGAAAGTCCCAGTCTTGTATGTCCAGTCCTGGTTTCCTTCCACTCACCCTGACATCTTAGTCTGTATGCTGTGAGGTATACAATAAATAAATAGTTTAAAAAAATTTTTTTTATTATAGTTGTAAAATACTCTTGCAACTATTCAATTTTTATTGTAGAAATTTTTTTCTATCTCTTATATAGTTACGAAGATATTCGCTTCGAAAGAAAAAAACCGATTTTCTTGAAGGGAGGATTTTACCCCCTTAACATGCAACTCCGCACGTATAAAAAAATACGTGTCTCTTATTTTTGTTTATAGAATAACATGCTAAAAGCTCATTTAAATCGGAGAGATCCAACTGGTTGACGTGGTTGTGTTCCCTTGTGAGTGAGAGAAAGATAATAAAATATTACGAATCAAATGTTATGTATGATGTTTCGTTCATTATTTATAAGTTTAGAAAAATTTATTAGAATAACGAAAAATACATTTCTATGAAATATATCTTATTAATTGTATTTAAAAAACTAGATGGGAGGCTTATTTGGTAACAATAAAATGTTATTTCACCGTATTTTAATAATTCACACACACAGTGAAATAAATATATTTCTCATATATAAATACAAATTTGTAATTATCTTTTTCTCGGTATATGTCTTAGAATGAGAATGATAGAATTACGCATATGCCGATGTATTCGAGGAAGGGGGCGAAGCTCTCTCATCTCGGGTCATTAGGAAGCGCTGCATGGAGAATGATGGAGAAAATTCAGGAGAAGGTTAAGCCCTCCTAATGGGGGATTATGGAGCGAAACCCCTAATATATATATATATATATATATACACACAATACAATCGCAGACAGGCAAAGGAGTTATTAGAGGAGGAGCTCTGTCGCCTATTATGTCAATAAAGATTAGATGAAAATACGAATGTATATATTACCGGCAGCAACATACCATACATTACGGTTTTGCCTTTAATACATTACGTAGAAGCCTGTTTAATCCTCTCAGTTTATCTTAAAAAACATTTACTGTGTGAAATGGTATTTGTTAAAAAGAGGAATATGAATTAAATATGTAAAATGACATAGAATTTCGTGATACATTTGATCATGATCTCATCCAACTATGCAACATGAGAACTTTGTTTTAACTTTTTACGATTGATGGAAAGTCGGTGTCTTGAAGTGTATAATAAACTTTTCCAAATACTGTTTCTTTTCCAATAGTAAGTTAACATTATTTCTCATCATTTTAATATTAAAATGATTTTAAAGACATCATTAAGATGACGATAATTAACATGAATTAGCTATCTGAGTTCTTTGTAAATGTCAACTTTTTTGGATCTCTCTTTCTAACTATATATAAATTTTTTATTACTTGTATTTTAACTCCTACGACTTCATCTTCTGACATTTTGTACTTTTCTTATTTTATTTCCATTTACTTTTTAAAAATATTATTTGATGTATTTGATTATTACATCAGCATAAACAATATTATATCGTAAATATTTAGTCCGGGCGCTGGCGACCATAGAGTATTTTTTTTGAGGTCCCCTCGGTACCTTGGGTGAACTTTATGTTTTTTGGGTCGCTGAATCCGAATTTCGAGGGTACCACGCCGAATTCTTGTTCATTTTTTTGTTATTAACAATTTAGTTTGCAAAATCGTGTTTTTCGTGTTTTGGGCGGAAAAAAAATATTTTAACATAAATCTAAGCTCGGAATTCGATTCCGCATGAAAAAATACAACTAAAACTTGTATTATAAGTGCCAATTGTAAATTATTCAATTATGAATAATGCTGAGCTCGAAATCCATGCACGACTACGTATGTGGTCTTTATGATTTTTTAGTAAATTACAACAGTTAGATATTATTAATTATAGGCAAAAAATTATAAATATAAACTTTTTTCATTATTAAAATCTTACACGAAATGAAAAATATAAAGCAGAAGGCGCGGCGCGATGCGGCGACTCTCTTTTCTTTTTTTTTATTTAAACTCGTCGGAGCTTGCGACGCTTGCCTGTATGTGTCTGTTTATCGCGCGGAGCCTTATTCGCCGTCGGAGCTTTGAGATACAGTACGTATTTGAGAATAGGTGAATTATTTAGTATTTTGACTATGTCTCAAATCAGTAATTTAGATTTTGACAAGAGCTTATGTATTATTTGCCAATCAAAAGATTATAACTTAACTAGTACAATAAATGGTTGCGAGAAAATACGTGAAGCCGCTAATCAAAGACAAGATACAGTATCATTAAGATTGAATCAATTGACACATGATGAACTTTTTCAATTAAAAAGATAAAAATATTGCGTAGAAAGTTATTACAAACTCATGTGGACCTTTGCTTTGTGTATGCGTAGAAACAGCTGTGTATTGCACCGTGACCACCCTACGGGGAGTTTCACTATCTAAAAAAGGGTGAAGCCCTTTAACTCCCTCAAAGGGTATAAGTACATGTATCACAGCATAGATTAATTGAGCATATATACCATATGCTAACAAAGGATTTTGCCAGCCAGTGCATGCGAAGGAGGGACTAAAATTGAATTTTTCGTTCCCTTTCTAATATGTCTATACGCGTCCGGCACTTTCTTTTGTTAGAGACAGAATAAAAAATCCATTGTGTTCCCACTTCTCAAACATGCCGACTATATCTCGCATACTTAATTATCTATGTAATTACTACGTTTACACGGCATTCTTATGATCGAATTTAATAATAATAAAATTAATAAGGCCCTATATGTATCATTCTTCAAAGGAATAGTTATGATTGGTTTTATAATTACAGATGTTATTAAATCTGATTAAAAGTATAACGTAGTTGTATGCGTAATCTCACTGAGTGAGAGAAAGATAATAAAATATTACGAAACAAATGTTATGTATGACGTTTCGTTCAGTATTTATAAGTTTAAAAGAATTTATTGTAATAACGAAAAATACATTTCTGTGAAATATAATATATCTCATTAATTGTATTTAAAAAACTAAATGGGAGGCTTATTTGGTATAAACAATAAAATGTTATTTCGCCGTATTTTAATAATTCACACACACAGTGAAATAAATATATTTCTCATATATAAATACAAAGTTGTAATTATCTTTTCTTCGGTATGTGTCTTATAATGAGAATGATAGAATTACGCATATGCCGATGTATTCGAGGAAAGGGCGAAGCTCTCTCATCTCGGGTCATTAGGAAGTACTGCATGGAGAATGATGGAGAAAATTCAGGAGAAGGCCAAGCTCCTAATGGGGGATTATGGAGCGAAACCCCCTAATATATATATATACACAATACAATCGCAGATAGGAAAAGGAGTTATTAGAGGAGGAGCTCTGTTGCCTATTATGTCAATAAAGATTAGATGAAAATACGAATGTGTATTTTACCGGCAACAACATACATTATGGCTTTGCCTTTAATATATGTTACACGTAGAAGCGTGTTTAATCCTTTCAGTTTATCTTAAAAAACATTTAAGGAATATGAATTAAATATGTAAATTGACATAGAATTTCGCGTGATACATTTGATCATGACCTCATCCAACTATATGCAACATGTGAACTTTGTTTTAACCTTTTACGATTGATGGGAAGTCGGTGTCTTGAAGTGTATAATAAACTTTTCCAAATACTGTTTCTTTTCCAATAGTAAATTAACATTATTTCTCATCATTTTAATATTAAAATAATTTTAAAGACATCATTAAGATGACGATAAATAACATGAATTTGCTATCTGAGTTCTTTGTAAATGTCAACTTTTTAAATTTGGATCTCTCTTTCTAACTATATATAAATTTTTTATTACTTGTATTTTAACTCCTACGACTTCATCTTCTGACATTTTGTACTTTTCTTATTTTATTTCCATTTACTTTTTAAAAATATTATTTGATGTATTTGATTATTACATCAGCATAAATAATATTATATCGTAAATATTATGTAAATTAAAAGAAGTAGAGTTTTATCAGGAAGATTTTATTATTTTGTAATAACCCCTCTATTGTAACGCTCGTATAATTATATGTGTTAAAACTGAGTTAGTAATGGTTTGTTATGTCCGGATTTAGTAAGGAAATGCAAACGAAATTATATTGATTAGATTAAAGAGGCTAGAAGGAAAATAAAAAGAGAAGCTCTCCGTTTAATCATTTTTATTATTAATTTGCATATAAATATATTTATTTTTATCTTAATTATTAGAAGATCTGTATTATTGAGGCAATGCGGATTTCCTTCGTTAAGTTGAGTACGGGTAATGGTAATTATAAAGTACTGAGTTGTTCTCTGGTCGCTAACGCATGTAATGGGCTACCAACAGAAGAAACTATTACTCTTAAAGGATAATCAGGCTTATGTATTTTAGGCAGGGAATGGAAG